TCGTTGTATCGAGTTTGTACGCGGCAATTTAATAAATGATCAAATGTTATATTAATTTAATGTTTTTAAGCCGATGCTTGCGTTGCGTGTGTGTTTACGCGGGCGCGCAAAATTGATATTTTCTTTCTTCTACAATTTCCACGGCAAACAGCCGCCGTAGAATCCCCGTCAACAACGGCAAACAACAAATTAATTCGTTGTTTAAACAGTTGCAGAGGCCGGCTGTTTGTTGGTGACAAACGCGTTTAACGCCACCGACAAGGAACAATTTTGCTAAATTTCAAAGCAGCTTCTCAATACTATTTCGAATTTCCCTTGTTATTTTTGTGTATAATGTAGCTTCTTGGTTACTGTGCGAGAGCTGTGCTCTTGCGAAAAATTCATTCAGAAATTACGCGATAGATGGTACTCTGTTGATCGTAAGGGTTGAAGAGTCAATTATCTGCTCGACGATTATATTGGTAAAAATTCGAAATCAAGCTGAAAATTTATCTTAAATGTATATATTAGTAAACTCTAGTAAAATGTACATATTAGTACTCTAGTAAAAGATTATTGCACAAGTAACTAAAACGTATAATTTATTGCATGAGTAAACATGTAATAAGTGTTTAAGATGGTTTCGTTGAATATTAAGTAGATAATTGGCTGTTTAAATAATTTTGTGATGTCTTGTAGGTTCCATACATATTTTTAATCTATAAATATAATCAGTCACATAGTCGGGCTTCATGTTAATGAAATTTCAAAATAGTTTTATATAACACACGACATATTTGAAAGAAGTTCCGCGAGCAATTGTATATTGTATTAACACGTTAGCTTTTAGCGGGTTAAATCAACGAGCACCATTTATCTTGCTAAAAAAGTCCTACCAAAAAATTGTTTTTACATCAGAAACATATGTATATATTTTCTCTGTGTATACCAAGCGTATTCTATATCCTGTGCAACCCCTAAAAATAATCCTGCAAGACGCGAGGGTGGACCGCGAGAGTGACCGGCTTTGGTCGTGTGTATTCTTTTTCTGTTCTTCTAGTTGGCAGCATGGCTTTCAGCTGACCTCACTGCTGCTTTTGCCGCTTCTAAAAAGAGCATTACAGAGGTTTCTTTGGGCCGAGTAGTGAATGATAGGTGAACGAACGCATGTAACGTTCATTGACTCGTCATTTGTCAGACTGGAGAAGCTGATGGACATTCTGCATAATAAGATGATCGATGCCACCGGCCAAGAGGAAACCATCCCGTGCTTGACGAACGTGAAACGCGCGAACAACACTTCCTCCTCGTCCGATGATCAAGAGGACGACGAAGATGAGACGGAGGGGAAGGATCATCAGGAAGAAAAGCAACGAAAGGACGAAGAGGACGAGAGTAAAGTGGACGAGCAAGGAGGAACAGCGTACAGAGAGAAGGTTTCTGAATGGTTGTCGATGATCGAGAGTGGTGTTAAACTGTCCGGACCTGTTACCGATCTCTAGAGCGACGTTTTCGGAATATTCTCGCTTTAGAGTGAAGTTTTTGGAAATTTCGAAGTAGAGTGAAGAAACAGGGTGATTTGCTGGTGTTTGAATGAAGTTTGAAAGGTTTCTGTGTGATTGAGAGGAAGAACGTACGTTTGGAATTCTTTTTTGAACGTTGGACATTTTTTTGAGAGAATGTGAAAATGTGTACAAATTGAGATTTGAGGCATTGGATTTGTTAAACTGAGGTTTGAATCATAAAAATACAGGATTTGGCGTAATTCGAAAGCTTGGAGTGTTGAGATGGTTTGGCAGGAGAATTCAGAATGAATGTTTAGATTCGTTGGTCAACTTTAAAATCGATGTTTGGGACATTGATTTCGAACGACTTGAAAGAAACTTAGAGGAACCTGTATTCGTGTAGAAGTTCTAAAATCCAATATTAAATCGAGTGTGTAATTAGATTTTAAGCTAGACATTCGAAAATTCGGAGATCTTGCTAAGAATTCAAACTGGTTTTTTAGTGACAGAGGACAGAATTTGTGATTCTTTGAGTTGAAGTGTTCACGAATTTTTCGCGAATATGATGACAGAATCAAAATTGTTATCTATGGCATTAGACTAACTCTTCCAAGAATTGTCAAATTTTCACGTAGGAGAAAAAGAGCCAAAAATCGTTAACGATCGTTAAAGAGAGTCAAGTTCTCTAAGTTCGTGTCATCTGTCAAAAAAAAAAAAAGAATTTTGAAGTAATGAAAAGTATCTTAGAATAGTAATAAAAAGTAATAAAAAGTATCTTTGAAGTAATAAGAAGAAACAATCGAAAAGAAATCAATCTTTTTGAAAATGTCCTCCATTAAAATTATTCGAGCTCGAAAAATCTAAACAAAATTTTGTTCAGTAAGAAACAAATCTGTTAAATGATTGCGTGACAAATTTGTTAATGATTTTTACAATTGTTTCTTTGAATATTATGTAGTGGTTGATTTTTGACATTTTAATAAATATTGCGGAGAATATGGATCGCAACGAAACGAGAATACGAAAATTTCTATAATATAATATAATTTACATTACAAACTGCAGGAATTTTTGTATTTTTCACACAGGGTTAAACGTTGGTACTTAAGGTTTCTGTTAAGGATTAAATAATATTGTACATAGAATTAGGATTGGAAAAGCAGATTGTGGAGCCCTCGTGCCTCAACCTTTGAATAATCGTAATTTATTTTAATTTTAAAACTTACTCCCTACATTTCTTGTGTCATAAATTTTAATAAAGAGATTAATACTTTGAAATAATGGGAGGATAATCTCTTGATTATTCGAAGGTTGGTTACGAGGATTGGTAATACCGATCTTCTTACCTGTGATCGTTCATTCGTCCTAATCTTTTGAAAACACGGTTCCTTAAAAAGCTTCTTATTATGCCGTCAAACGTGCCTATCGAGTTTGCTAGATTTGTTGAATAAATTTTTGCACGAATAAGTGCATATTTTTATCCCTCGCTGTTCATCATGGAACTGAGAATGCTAAAAATAAAATAAAATATAAAAAAAGTAAGTACTGAAAATAAAATAATTGATATTTAAATAAAATTATTAAAATAATATATTATGATTAAAATAATATATAAAATAATTGGAACTATCCAATACGGAATATAATTGAAATTAAAATATGTTTTTGATTACAAGTAAATCTACAAATATTCAAGTATTCCATACCTTAGAGAAGTTTCGATATTTTAAAGAAAAATTCTCAGTCTTTATTAACCCTTGATATGATATCTTCGAGCTATATATGATTACGATAATTTATGTTAGATTATTAAAAGTTAGAATAATCAGTTGTATTTTATATTTATGTTCTTGGTGATGAAAGTAAATTAAATTAATTAAAAAAATTTCAAAATTAATCTCCAATGGCCTCATAATACCAATTAAAAAGATTAAATTGTAAATTAAATTGATGACTATGATAATTTATGTTAAATTATTAAAATTTAGGATGATTGGGTGTATTTTGTATTTTTTTTTATATGTATATTCTACGTAGCACGATTAGTAATAAAATTAAATTGCAAGTTGGGGACAAAATTAGTCCCCAAGCGACACTAGTTAATTTCTCAGAAGAAAACGATTATTGAATTTAAATATATTGATTTCGGAACCACGAGGGATGAAACTATGAACGATCGAATTTGTATTTTTCACTGATTAACGTTTGCAATAGACAGAGCTGATCGATAAGTTCGCGTGTTCAGCTAGTTGATTGAAGATTAGCTGATGGCTGGCGTAAGAACAAAGTTGACGTAATTGGGTTACGTACGTTAGTCTTCTTTTCATTTCGAGCGAATCAACAGCGCATAGGGTATTCGTTTGAATCTTCCTTCACAAAAGACAAGTCAGAAATAACGGCTGGAAATAGAATGCTATTCAATCAATTCAATATTTCGAGAATGCTCAGTAATGAATTTTTATTATCATTTTATTCTGAAACATTGATCTCTCCGTTTGACAAAGTTTGATCAATTTGTTGGAAAAATTCGATCATGTCGAGTATTATTTGAGATTACGTTAACCTTTTCGTGTCATATGACAACCACAGTAGACTTGTGGCGTTATAATAAATTGTATGACGATTGTTTTTGATTTTATATATTAATTTTATATATTACTCGGTACATTATATTAATTAAGGTATTTGATCTTCGAAGATATTTAAATATTTACTGATGAAGATTTAGACGACGAAGTAATTGCCCCTTTCAATAGAAAATCATGTTTAAGTTCTGTCGAAGCTAAAATAATCTGACAAGATAATTTGATTGCCTAACAATACATAAAAAAAAAAAAAAATCATAAATTAACCGATAAAGATTTTTTTCTGAAATTTGTTTTCTGAGATACTATAATAGATTCATGACGCGAATGAGTTAACTCGTTCTTGTTGTATTCGTATTATTATTTGTTGAAGGTGATCTTTCTCTTTTTTATCAATATTTCATCAAAATTGTCTCGATCGCAGAATCTCAAGAAAGCGCAATGTATTTTCGTTAAATTTTCATATTGTGCTTAGACCACGTAGACCAAGTTTTATATAGGTACACTCCGCAATCTTTGAAAAAGTCTCGTTCCGAGATTGGTTCCGAGTAATAGCGGGAAGATATATTTTTTTATGAACAAAGATACAGCATTGTACATAACAATGCGATTAATTCCTTTGCTGTGTTTTTAATTCTTCAACATTTTTAAATCTCATCGTAAGTCATTCTCTATCAAAAGTGACTTATATCGTGCAAATATATTGTTGTCAAAGTTTACCGTCAGTGGAACAATTAATTACAATATCGTAATGATTGTGTTATAATAACTAAATTGTCTCGCTAACTGAAGATTTTTAGAATAGAAAATTGTTTGCACGGTATAAATTATTTTACACTTACACTGATTGACTTCTGAGCCCTCGATGTATTGATTTCGATGGTAAATTTAATTTACATTAAATTTTTTTTACTTAATCATATCGTCACGGCAAAGGGATTAAATGGTCGACTTGAATTGAATATCCACTTAGGATTAGTATTCTTCTTGTAAACGAGAACTAACGATTATAGACTAATCGATTAGCAATATATACTACGATTTTCTACAGAGATTCTGTCTCTCATGTTATTTATTTACAATTAAACAATATATAAAACACACGTACATTGTGCACGTAAAATATTATATAGTTTAAGGGCCGCAGCTCCTCGTAAAAGGCAGTATTTTCGTAAATACGACGTGATACATTACTTTCATCCTCGAGCATTCGTGAAATTTACTTTCTATTTTTTGATATCCTATACATAAAAATAAAAGAGTGTATTGTTTGCAAAGGAAAGATTGAGCTCAATTTCGGTGCTCAAAATAATTAGAAAATCAATTGATCTGTTAAAAATTTCGCAGTAAGTTCATTCTCGATGAAAAAAAAAGAGATCGAATCCTTTGTCATTCTTCAGTTCGATTTTTCTTCAGATCTTCAGATAATAATCAAAGTTTTAAGCGCGAATGGTCATATTTTGGCAGCTAATAACTCTAATTATCCGTATTTTGGAAGTGAAATTCCGAATTAAGATATAATAAAGAACTTCTTGGTTCATTTTTTAAAGTAGAATATATCTATTTCATAAAGATAAATAAGACTACGTAGTAGACTGATAACAATATAATTAGGCTGTGTTACGCTTATGCAGGTGATTAAGAAATTGCAACGTAGGTAAAAAAATCAATTCACTTGTTACAAATTATTATAAGACATGTTACAATTTAAATATTTTTTCATACTATTTTTCATTTGCATTTCTGCATTTCTAAATTTTTCACGAATGCATGAAAATCCACTCTTTAGATATAACAAACTACTACTACTTAATTAATGCACTAATTAATGAAAACTTAATGACGACTGATCTTTTCAAATCTTTTGTATAATTCTTGTATTAGATCATACAGACAAAGCGATTTTCTAATTGTTTTGAGCAATTTAACCTAGACTTGTGCAACACAATATTGTAAATACTTATATGTATTATCAACTATTACTTTTAATATCTTTTCGAGATGGGCAGACAGACTATGGTCCTCTGTGGTCCGAGACTTGCAATAGTAGCGTATTCTATATTTTCGTAAAGAGATTTTCGAACAACGGACACCGTATGGTTCTGAACGATTAGATACGTATAACGAGGGTTCGCTCATCAAAAGTTTGCACGATTTCACGAATCGTGAAACATACAAATATGTGGGCTATCGAAGATATATTTCGTAGGCTGATTTAACGACGCGACGTTT